ACGTGAATCAATCAGAGATAGACATTATTACATGAGGTAGGGTAAATGTGCATTGTACGTGCTTAGGAACCTTGAACTTGCAGTTACATTTGATTATTTGTGTACAGATATTGGTCTAGAATAATTTATCAATTCGTTTAGTCTTGAAGATGTAGTGATGCAGGGACTACATTATGTTCTTGTTGACATTGTTGGTAGCTAGAGGTTTTCCTAATTTTCACAGTTTGGAGTGAGTGAGCGAGTGAGTTTAGTTTTAGGCTGCACTCAACAATATTCCAGCTACATGTATATGGCGGCGGTCTGTAAATAATCGAGTCTGGACCAGACGACCCAGTGATCAACAGCATGAGCATCGATCTGAGCAGTTGGATGAGTGAGTTTAGTTTTACGCCACACTCAGCAATATTCCAAATATATTGCAGCGGTCTGTAAATAATCGAGTCTGGACCAGACAATCCAGTGATCAACAGCATGAGCATCGATCAGCGCAATCGGGAACCGATGACATGTGTCAACCAAGCCAGCGAGCCTGACTACCCGGTCCCGTTAGTCGCCTCTTACGACAAGCATGGGTTACTGAAGGCCAATTCTAACCCGGACCTTCACGGGTTTCACAGTTTTGTCTTTTTGAGAGGGTACGTAAGTCTCAAAACATTTGAAGTAAATTTAGATATACCAGGTTTTATAATAGAAGGATACTTGTGTTTTTAAGTGATGGCTAAATTTGTGCACAATCGCCATCGTATGAAGGGACCATGTAAGTCCTTCTAGGGTGGGTGGGGTGAAGGGGTGGTATGGGAGCATTGAGTGGGGGCAAGGCAGGCTGAGCGAGGTTGAGAGGTGGGCGCGGACGTCGGAGAGGACAGTCACGCACATATGGTGAATTTGGAGTGACTACATACCTATCCGTGAAACAATTAAGAAATGAAACAGTAGGCGAGAGCTTTCAATACAACTGATAACTCATGACAGGTAATTAATTAATGACAGATGGTCGGATTGGGGTGTGCTGATAGTTATAGCCCGGGAAAGCTACTTTTAAGAAAACAAGAGTTGAAAATGGTGTGGCTCAACCGGAAATCGGTATTGTTGAGTGATCGTGTGAATGTGGGTCTCCCGGCAATGCGCTATTAGCTAATCCATGTTACCGTAAATAATGCAGATTTTTTAATATCGCTCTAAATTAGTCGAATTAAGTCAAAATTAATTGAAATTTGTGTCATGATGTTTATAAACATACGCTCGTTCATTTACAACCTTCAAACCATGGAAAAACATGTATTTTGAGTAAAAGTAAATATTCTCGCCCATGGGCCAACATAATTTTCGCCCATGAGCGGGATTTTTTAATATCGCTCTAAATTAGTCGAATTAAGTCAATATGAGTTTCATTTTGTTTCATGATACTTATCAACATACACTCATTCATTTACAACTTCCAAAACATGATAAACATATAGTTTGAGTAAAAGTAAATATTCTCGCCCATGGGCCAACATAATTTTCGCCCATGAGCGAGATTTTTTAATATCGCTCTAAATTAGTCGAATTAAGTCAATATGAGTTGCATTTTGTTTCATGATACTTATCAACATACACTCATTCATTTACAACTTCCAAAACATGATAAACATATAGTTTGAGTAAAAGTAAATATTCTCGCCCATGGGCCAACATAATTTTCGCCCATGAGCGAGATTTTTTAATATCGCTCTAAATTAGTCGAATTAAGTCAATATGAGTTGAATTTTGTTTCATGATACTTATAAACATACACTCATTCATTTACAACCTCCAAAACATGATAAACATATAGTTTGAGTAAAAGTAAATATTCTCGCCCATGGGCCAACATAATTTTCGCCCATGAGCGAGATTTTTTAATATCGCTCTAAATTAGTCGAATTAAGTCAATATGAGTTGCATTTCGTTTCATGATACTTATCAACATACACTCATTCATTTACAACTTCCAAAACATGATAAACATATAGTTTGAGTAAAAGTAAATATTCTCGCCCATGGGCCAACATAATTTTCGCCCATGAGCGAGATTTTTTAATATCGCTCTAAATTAGTCGAATTAAGTCAAAATGAGTTGAAATTTGTTTCATGATACTTATAAACATACACTCATTCATTTACAACCTCCAAAACATAAATATTGAGTAAAAGTAAATATTCTCGCCAGTGGGCCAAAATGTTTTTCGCCCATGGGCGAGATTTTTAAATATCGCTCTAAATTAGTCGAAGTAAGTTAAAATGTGTTGAAATTTGTGTCATGATGCTTACAAACATACACTCATTCATTTACAACCTCCAAAACATGAATTCTGATCGAAATTAAACATTTTCGCCCATGGGCGAGCGAGTTTAAATTTCAAGTTCATTTTTTCATCCTTGGCATATATTCATAAGTACTGCATGTTTAATTTGGTCAAATCCCTTGTCAGAAAGTGCCCACAGTGCGGAGAGTTTCTGGACTTTTGTGAGTCCAGAATAAAATTGTGACGTGTTATTACCATTTGCTGCAAGTATTACAATTTGCGTTTTTATTACAATTAACGTCGTAACAACAGGTTCTCGGTGATAAATCCACAGTTGTGAGGCGTCAAACGCAGGTACTACAATATAACTCAAGTTTTGGAAACTGATATTTATTAATTCTCGCACTGAAGGTAATCAATTCTGATTATACTGGAACGTTTTGTAGCTAAACAAAATCCACGTTTATTAAGAAATTACGTCGACACTGGCCTAGCAATAGCATAGTGATATTTGACAATCTACGAATGTGATTGGTTGACAGAAGTGCGACTGACAAATGAGAAGGCTGCTGTGTAGTCAGTGGTTAAATCGTTCGTCCGCTATATGGAATACCCGTGTTTCGTAGCAGGGCGCATCGTTGCCTTATTCATCGCTCATCTAACCGGACAGTCAATCGATCAACTTTACCATGGAAACATTCTTACAGCGCTCAAAAACAATGTTTCATGGTTTGTTATTGTTTCAAGAAAAATAAAACAACAACCCCAAATGATACAGAATATAGATGTGCGTTGGACACTAACACAAAATCCGTGATCCTCAAACTGTATAGCACAGTCTCCTGTAACGACACGGAGCACGAACACTCGCCTAGCCCTGTTATGTGTGAGACAGTTAGCCGAAACCACGTTATTTTTGTAGAATAAATGGCACTACGTACTTGGTAGTGTTGCGGGTAGTTAAGGGAACATATGTGACGTAATAGATAGTTTGTTTATGCAGCTGCAACATATATGAAGCGGCAATATCGGTGGATGTATTTTCCTTTGTGAAATGTGATGCCTTTCTGTTGACAATGAAACTTACAGTGCTTACTATAAAAGCTAACAGTTGGCAGTAATTGTTGGTAGTAATTGTTGGCATGGTATAACATAACATATCTGTATGTGGTTAGAGAAATATACAGCTGTCCCTTTTCGACAGTCGGTGTCTTTTTTCATTATTTATATTTTTTTTTAGGAATCTTTTTCTGTTAAATATGTTCATTTCAGAGACTAGATATTAGTTTCATTTCAGGTTGATGTGTATTTGGAAACATCTGAATTTGGGAACCACGTCATGGCGAGCGATTCGTGAAAACTGACCTTTACCAGCATTGTGAGTAAAGACTACATGTGTTAATTTCTTGCACTTAGAGCATACGTTGTATATAAGCGGCGCTTTAATCTTTGAAGTTTGTATGGACATAAACGTGTTGCAAATGTATTTTCTTTATTCATGTTCGTTTGGGTGTTTTGTACGATAAAGTATGTGACGGTATGTAAACTATTAATCGGACTATAAAGAATAAACAATCTACAGTGAACATGAAAGTAATGAGGTCGTATGTAGTAAAATCATGCTTTTCTTACCTGAAAACCTTGGACAAACATCAACTGTTTAAAACACTTTCTGACACCTGATGTTCTCAGAAAAATGTCGCAGGTGATGATCCGAGTTAGATTTGGTCTTCAGCAATCCATGTTTATAAAAGGCGACTATCTAGGTCGGGAAGTCAGGCTCGCAGTCTTGGTTGATGCATACTGTTATAAGCTTAAAAATGCATCTTTTGTACAAGAAAAGTATAACAATCCCATTCTTGAGAATTGCGGTTATTTCGTGATAGAATTGATGCTATCACTGCTTGGTAATAAATCAAGGGATATAGAATAAAATAACTGGGAGTAATAGAATCTAAAAGACTCTTAAAGTATTACTTTCATACAACCTTCAGGCACATCATAAACAGCTCATCTAAAATGATTTTCTTCAAAACGTTTTGTTTTGAACCAAACATTTGTCATCAAACACACAAACATGAAGACCACAAGGGATGCCAATTTTGTATAACTTTATGTCTATACACTTCAAATCACACGCCATCACATAAGTCTGTGCAGAGTTGCGTCCATTAGAAGAGCCAGAGGCTTAAATCTTAGGTTCTGATCCCAGATTTATCCAAATTATAACCATTATCTGTTTTTTTCAGAACAGGTAGCTCAGAAAAGTGGTGTACGCCTTGCATTTGAAGTCTCCCTCAGTTCTAACTCGTATCTTACATCAGGTCTTCAAAGGGTTTAACCTCTCTTCAATTCGCTGATGAATTGTTTTTTTACTGGACAGCGTTGCAGGTTGTTCAATGTATGAATCCCTGGATTGTCTGGCTACTCCAGGCTTACAAACTAGCATCACCATAGCTTGCATAGTACTCAACGATAAACAAATTGAACAATTTTAGGTAAAGTAAAACGCCAACGACATATATGTATCAAACAAATTTAATCACAGTGAAAATATAAAAAAGAATCCTTTCACAAAACACATGACGTCACCTGATACATGTTTACAGTTTCATAAACGCTGGAGTAAAGACAAAGAGCAATATATGCAATAATACTCGACTAATAAGCAGCTTCAAGTCATTGCTGAAGACTGATTTGGTTTGGCAAGGCCTACGGGCTAATCAGTGTCTTGGCTAGATACCAGCGATTTATTTGACTGATTATTTGCTTGATAACCATTCCATAGTCAGGAAACAGTCGCTCTGCCAGCATGTCTTCTTTTGGCAGAAACGCCGCAGATTCCACCCAGTACAGTCAATATTACAGCTACTACCCCCAGACAAGCTCCAACAATTATCCCGGTAGAGACTGTCGAAGCTATACAGACAAGCAGATGTACATGCAATATATTTGTCATTGTAATTATAGAACTTTTACATCAATGTGTTTCATATATTATCGGTTCACATTCAAACAGCTGACTTTAGCGGTAATTAGTAATAACAGAAAAAAATATTAAATCTCTAAAACATTTTGGAAACTAAACCTTAGTATTACATGGGCCTTTTATCACTGGATACTGATAGCTTAAATCATTTTACCTCCAAAATATTGTCATCCCAAAATAATTACTGTTATTTTAGTCAGGGACAGGTTTGGATCTTTAGATTTAGCTTGTTGGCTAGTTTGGTTCGTGGCACATATAGCTTAACACTTGATCATTGCAACTTACCGTAAATTCCCACGAACTCTATCGTATACTTGATAATGAATCCTCTGTCGACTACATGGGAATTCGACTTGAATTTCAGGAACATTAAAGATCCTGAACTGGTTTTGTTTGGTTTAGTTCCCCCACACCAACGTCCAAGAGAGGTGGCTTTTGAATCTGAACCTACAGACATAAATTCACTCAACGCTGTTGTCCACATGATTTCATATATTAAGAATTGATAACGACATTCAAAGTTTCAAATTAATTGCCATCTCCTTGAACAAATCCCGTTTATCCCTTCTGATAATGATTTACCAATAGTAGATGGATAGTACATGTGCACATAAGCAACACAAATAATATACGTGAATGAAAGTCAAGTTTCGGCTCCGACAAACATAGAAAAGGAGAACTTATAAGACGCATTAGGATATTGTATATTTATTCACTTGATGCTGGGGTAACTAAGACAATTTACACCTACTACAAGAATAGCCTGCTGTTCTATATTTTCCAGACTGTGTTGACGACGGGAAGTCAAAGAACTGACTCAAGCAACAGCGCAATGAATGTGCACACAAACTGGTGTGAACATGCAATCATAACATTACCATCGAACGCTTCAACGTATTCATTTTGACAGCCAACAGTGCTCTCCAGTTGCGAGTAGGTAACGTTGATCTTGACCCGAAAGTATTCACCCGCATCGATTTTCAATGTGCGCTCGACATTGCTATAATACAGAATTCACTCATATGAATTGATTAAACGTAAAGCTTCGATTTTCACAAGCTGATAGAAAGAGTCATCAATACATTATTGTGATGTTGCATTATTCAACAGGCATATCGTTACCTAAGGATCATATCAATTTCATAAGATTACATTTATGTTACAAAGGGGGGTGTTCCGGACAACAAATGGTATTGAATCATGATTCAGTAATTATAACCTTCTACGGACAGGTTCGTTTCCTAGAATAACTAGAATTCATATTAGAAAGTGAGAATGAATTGTTGTCGATTTCTAAGCAATACACGACACAGTGAGCAGGCATGTTTAGAAACAATATATAAAGGTACAATGTAAAATAGAGTATGTGAAATATTGTAATAGTTGTTGATGATTTTTAAGGAATTCAGACTGGCTATTAAATAATAAACATTTCCGAGAGCACATTTCCAGTATACGTGATTAACGCATGATGCGAACGAGTGTATCATTTTGTTCATAAGTTTCAGCTCTTTACTTGCAATAGTATTTGGCTTTGTTTACTCAAAGCCAACTCTACCTGCACTTTGTGGCCACCTACCTCGGGTAATTGAATGGATAATTTGGGGAAGTAATATATTTGACTGTATAATTAGCTGAAAGACTCGTCATCCGTGAAGCTGAAAAACGAAAAGTATTTGAAAGTATTCAGGCGATTAAACAATCTCTGTGTAACAATCATCATTGGAAACAACATCGATTTTTTAGCGTCAAATGTACAGATATTTGTTTTTGTCACAGTCCGCTTACCCGGGATTCAAATCCCAGCTTTCCCTCGCTCACTCACACAAATTGACATACCACTTAAGTGTCCCGCCTTGAGAATCAATGGTTCACACCCATAACCCCTACATGCCACTACCCCTACACTCCAGTACCCCTACAGCTAGTTAAAACAACACCTAGCATTTACCTGTCTGATATAATAGACTAATCCTAAAGAGGGATTAGTGCATGGAGCATAGATGAGATCAAGGGATGCATAAATGTGATTAGTCTTTTGTGGCAAGGAAATTAGTGGTCTCATGATGAAAACAAACCTCAACCCTGAGTAGGATGAAGTTCAGCAGAGACTCAACAGACCGCTTGATCCTGCCTGCATCCAGACCGATTTTGAGCTAGCAGCAATCCACGCCATAGAAACAGAATTTCCCACTGCTGACGTGAAGGGCTGTTTCTTCCATTTCTGTCAAGCCATCTGGAGGAAGGTTCAGGATCTTGGACTAGCTGTTGCCTACAAGGAAAACCCCGAAGTCACCAAGTGGATCAGGAGAGCAGCTGGACTACCTCTACTTCCTCAAGCCGCGGTCCAAGACACTTGGATTGAAGCCATGGATGACACTCCTGACGTCCCAAGAGCTGGCGACTTCAACGACTACATCGTGACAACATGGGTCGACGACACTGCCAGATTTTTCTTCACCTGTGGAACCACAACTTGACAGCTGGGCCGAGGACAAACAACAACCTGGAAGGATTCCACAACCGTCTGAATCGAGAAATTCCACACAGGCACCCGAACATCTACAGATTTGTAGAAGTCATCAGGAGAGTCGAACACGCCGAGAGAGTGAGGATTGCTCAGATTGACTTTGGTGCTGCGCCAACAAACAGAAAACGAGTGTACAGAGATCGACAACCGTCTGTGCAGACTCAAGGAACAGCTTCAGCGTGGACAGAAATCCCCTCTTCAGTTTCTTGACGCCGTCGGCTACCTGCTCAAGCTTGGATAGACTGTAACACTGACACTTGAACACTTGTGATAATGTAATAATGTGGTCTTTCTCTCATCCTGATATGTTGATATGAAACACTTGTGATAATGTGATCTTTTGTTCATCCTTATATGATGATATGAAAACACTGAATGTAAATAGACTGAAAAACTTGACAATTATTGATCTCAATGTGTGATGTATTAAGGTCACACTTTTGATAATGTAATAATTTGGTTTTTTCTCTTATCCTGATGTGATATGAGATGAGATGATTAAAACACTGAATGTAAATAGACTGAAAAACTTGACAATTGATCTCAATGATGTGGTACTTTGTGATAACACATGTATTAAAGTCACTTTTAAAATCTGTCTTGTGTCATGTTGTGCATCTTAAGTGGACCAGTCCACTGTATGGAATAGGTAACAGGCAGGAGATTAGTTATGCAACAGACCATAAACTATGTTGTTATAAGCTGTAGGGGTAGTGGCATGTAGGGGGTAATGGGAGGTTACCGAATCAATTGATGAAGCCTTCGCTGTACTGACCACACCACTTCCCGGTACTCGAACTGATGTTGTCAAAACTGCCTGTAGGTACTTAAATATGTTATACATTCATTGGTAAAATATAGGTATAAATACAACACTGCACTGATAGTATTTTAAATTGCTTGCCATTTGTTTTAATACATGGATATGAGTGTTACCCAGTAGTCACTACTTGAACACGTGTACATAAACGTTTTGTAATGAACAAAATTACGAAAATTATTCTAATGCAATATCAACGATGTTAAGATCAAAATGTGATAAATCACACCTAACAATCGTTATGTTTGTATTATGGTGCCGCATTCATTGACGTCCTAGTTACATATCGGTGACCTATAAATGACGGAGTCTTGATTGGGCCAACCAGTACTGTGATGTATTTGTTGTGAGTCACAATATATGCCGCCAAGATGACAAGCGAAGAAGCGATCAACCTGATCGATACATTATGTCGAATTGTTTAATAGACCAGTAGAAATCGACATGAAATAAAGTTGACCCGGACATTTAGTATAACAAGCAAATTTGTGTCTTAAAATGATTTATAGGTTCCTGTGATGCTGAGAAAAAACCCCAACCCAAATCAAACTTGGGCAGAAAAAGTTATGACCACCTGAAAATGTACCTCAATGATGTGCTGAGGTTTCGTACATATAACATCAGTTGTATGACTAATATTATCTCCCTTCATAGTAACAGCAAACAATGGCCGACATTGTTGTGACAACAGAAGTTTTGAAGCGGTGAAATTTGACATACAAGGTAAGTACTGTGAGTTTTAAGAAAGTTTCCATGGGGAAATAAGCTTTGACAACTGTTAAAAGGCATTGAGACATAAGACATTGAGAAATAACTTCAAAATAGTCATGTTTGATCAATGAAATTTTGAACAAGATAGATAGACTTGATGTTTTAAATTTTAGGCTTCAAGGTCATGTAATATTATGGTTTTCTTACTAGTTTTTCTTGTCACATGGTGATGGAGTAGATGTTTAGGATGTTCTAGGAGACAGATGCAATCAAATCTAGAATGAAATATTACCTTAAAAAATTATATAAAAAATATATCGAACCACTTCATAAACTACCAATGCACTCCTACTGATGCTATTTTCCCTCCGACTCACTTACATAATATGAAAGCGTCTGTTGATAATTAAATCTTTGAGTAACTTGTAGTCAGTAATAGTTAAAACATATTTCAAATAAAGATTATCAATGAAAATATTATTGTTCACTACACAATACATGGTTACCATGCGTATATTGATGAAAACCGATTTGGATAGGCTTATTTTATTTTGGTGTATTTGTCTACTTGATCTGTTAAAATATTAGAATTAGTTCACAAAGTACCAATGAAAAGCAGATATGTTACACCTGCAAAACAGTAGGATTCCAAGTTTTAATAATTCCAAAATTTAATAGAAATTATGAATTAATTAAGAAATGAAATTAGAAAAACATTACCGAATGCACTAAGTGAGTGAAAATTGTGATGCCATTACAATTTATTTTCAATAAAACTTAAAATATGTACATAAATTAATGAAAATATTTACAAGTTTACCATTTCTAAAAGACAAAGATGAATCATCAAAACATAGAAATTCAGCTCATACCATTTTGTTATGCCCATATTTCTAAAACTATAAGAGTTACCTCCCATATCAAACAAATAAAGTCAACTGTTCCTTGTTGACTAGTAAAATGATCCTTCATATAAGTAAAATTTTGATGATTTTGAAAACATTTGAAATATTCATGAATTAATTTTTAATGTTTCAGGCATGTCTTTCTGCATCATTTGTAAGAAACCTGATGCTACAGTGAAGCTTACAAGCAAGGGAATTCTTTCACTGCTGAGTGTTTCTGAACAAAAAAAGGATGACCTGCATGAATATCTTTCACAGTCAGACAATCATCACGTTCATGAAAATTGTAGAAAATCATACACTGCAAAGAAAAACGATAAGGCAGCTCAGTCCATCACTCCTATTCGTATCCTAAGAAATTCAGAAAATAATTTTGATTCTGACACTTGTTTCTTGATCTGACTCCATCGATCTACAAAAACATCCTCACCGTAATGATGTTAGCAACGTTGAAATCATAAATAATGACAAAAAAATATGTTCTTCAAGAAACTCTCTTAGATGTTTGTAGTAAAAGACAAGATGATGATGCATCAACTGTCAAAGCCCGTATTTTGTATGCAGGAGATATTAGAGCAGTTGAGGCCACATACCATAGAGGTATTCAGGTATTTACATGCCCCGGGAACACCAAACACAGTCAAAGCAAGACCAATTCACGTAACTCTGACCAGGACACAACAGAGCCTTTATCAAGTTGTACAAATGGCTTGTGGAGATAATCATAACTATCAGCAGTTCACAATCCAAGATGTGCACAAGGAACTTTCATCCTATCTATCTCCTGAAACTGAACCATATTCCATAAAACACCTCAAGAGGAGACTGATTGATACATTTGGAGATCAAATAACATTTTCTGAGATAGATGGAAAACCAAATGTTATCACTTTCAACAGTACAGCATCTTCCATTCTTCATGGATCTTACACTAAAACTGACATACAAAAGGAAACTGAAGATAAGAAGATTATAAAGAAAGCTGGATCCATTCTCAGAGATGAAATAAGCAAGTGGACTCAAGTTCAGGATGAATCTTCGACCCAAGAATATGCTTCACCCAGTGGACCCGTGAAGATCCGGGGTAGATTAGGTCTTCAGCAACCCATGTGCTTGCCATAACAAGGCGACTATCTTGTCGTAAGAGGCGACTAACGGGATCGGGTGGTCAGTTTCGCTGACTTGATTGACAAATGTCATCGGTTCCCAATTGCGCAGATCGATGCTCATGCTGTTGATCACTGGATTGTCTGGTCCAGACTCGATTATTTACAGACCGCCGCCATATAGCTGGAATATTGCTGAGTGCGGCGTAAAACTAAACTCACTCACTCACTCACTCCTTCACCCAGTGACATCAATGTGGACAAACTTGAAGAGCAGGTACCGCCGCTTCTCCTCAGTCTCATTGAAAGAATTCTACTGAGGTCAAGCAGTCCATCATCTCTTGCCAAAGAGAGACTTCTTATCATTTCTCTACGTCATGTTCTACTTCAGACGGCTTCAGGACAGTTATACATCTCAACACTGATCAAGTCATTGACTTCGAGAAATCGGCTGCTCTCAATCAAGATAACGTCAACCAATCAACTGAGCCTGCTTCCGGATTTTGCCAATGGATCGCAGACAACTTTGATCAGCATGAAGATACATTAAATGGACAAGATACTTCACATGTAATGGGAATAATAACTTGTCAAACACCCAAAGAAAGTAAAACAATTTCCATCCCCAGACAGAAAGTAACATCTGCTGAGATTATGAAATCAGGAGCCTTTGGTACACTCATAAAACCCTACCATCAACCAGTCAGAAGTCAACTGCCCAAAGTTGTGTTTGAGGAGCTGCAGCCGATCAATCTTTCTATGACACACTCCCAAAGTATGGACATGCTGTGGATAGTGTCCCGCTTGTTGAGCAACTCATCTCCAAGTTGGCAGGGTTTTATGTCTCAGGTCACAGATGGTACAGTTGTTTGCTCTTCAGAAATGTACAATCCTATCATCCCATTAAATCCACAGACAATGGAGGCGGTTTATAGTACAATGACTTTTGTAGATCTCCAAAGAAGAAAATCTGGCCAGTGTTGTGGTCAAATTACATTTGACCAAGCTCTTTTTGCAAAGGCGTATAAAATAAAGGTTGACAATCCTAAAGGATTCAAACATCTGTCTTTACGCCTGGGTGGATTCCACCAACTGATGTCCTTTCTTGGCGCTGGGTGTAAGTGTATGCAGGACAGTGGTCTTGAAGATGTGTGGGCAACTGTATATGCCAACAAGTCTATTCCGAAGATGATGGAAGGAAAGGCTTACACAAAAGCTCTGGGAGCATGTCTTTTGACAGATGCTGGCCTTCACATGATCATTCTCAGTCCAGAAGAGTCATCAAGCAAAATTGACTTCAATCAAGGAATAACAAATGAAATACGGAGTGAGTCTTAAAACAATATAAGACTTCAAGAACCTCAAAATTTGCATGTTAGTGTTCTGGAAAATGAGAAGACATATGAAGATGTCAAGAATGATCCAGGTATTCAACACTATTCGGTTTGTAGATCAATAAAAGTGCAAGCTTCAAGAGTCAAGAACTGGCAAATTATGGATTCAGTTCATGGAATTTGTTACAGTAGTGCGCAATTCCATCAGAGCACAACGGACTGGGAACTGGAAGCTCCATCTCGAAACTTCCCCACAAATGTTGCCTTTTTTCGCAGCAGCAGGGCACAACAACTACAACTGCTGTCTACTCTATCTGCAGGATTGTCAAAAGCTGTGTCCTTGTTTGCAGGTACAGATGGAAAAAGGAAACTTCACAAGAAGATGAAATGAGAACTTGTTTTGGACAACACTCAAAGTGGATCCTGGTCAGAGCAGCACAAGGAGGTCAATATAGGCCACATCAAACAAGACCTACAAAACATGCACACTTGTGAGGGCTATCTGAGAAGTCACAACCTCTTTCACTCCAAAGATTCTCACCACCAGCTTCGAAATATTGCCACGGGAATGTTTGCTGACAAGTCTGTGAAAATAAACACAGCACTGGAGATTAGAACAAAACAACTGGAGAAAATTAAATGTCCCATCAGAAGTTCGGTGATGTTGTCCTGAAAAAATGTGATCAAACTGTGACATTTGCTGTGATGAGAAAAGCCTTGAAAATTGGTCATGATGATATTCATATATCCTCATCAGAAGTGTACCAACGTTTGTTATCACTTGCGTGTTTGACAGGACCTCCAAAACCAACGGTGTTTGCATATGAGCTGGCTGCAGTGTGTCCAGTACTATTTCATGATGATGGTACTAAGCGGAAATGCGAGAAGTCGCAGCTTGCAAGGCACATTTCAAAACTTCGTCCAGTATCATCGCCTCTGATCCTGGCAGGGATACAGCACTTGTCATAGATGGATGTGCCCTTTTGCAACAAATGCAGTGGCCAAAGGTTGGATTGCTTCAAGATATATGCTCATCATTCTGTCAAATAGTTTCAGCAAAAGCAAAGAACAGTCCTTCAGTTCATGTGTTTTTTGAAAGCTATGAGGTTATAACCACAAAAGAAGATGTTGTGATTGTTAAGCAAGCACTGACAACGGCCCTAGAGCATCCTGTTTGTGTGTGTTCAGATGACACAGATGTTCTGGTACTACTGCTCCACAACTGTATTGATATGCATCAGGATACTTTTATGAAGACAAAAACACTCAAATATTCTGTCACAAGAGGGCGACAATCATTAGGTCACAATATATGCCAATGTCTTCCATTCACCCATGCTATGTCAGGTCGTGATACGACATCAGCATTCTTTGGCATGGGCAAAGTCAAACACTTCAAACTTATACAGCAGTCGGAGGAACTTCAAGGAGAAGTAAAGGTGTTTGGAAACACAGCCACGCCTAAAGAAACTATTGCTGCAATTGGAGAGAAATATGTGTCCTTCTTATATCAAGGAGAAAACCGACTTCTGGATGAAGTGCGGTACCTCAATATCATCTCGTCAAAATATGTCCCATTAGTGAAGATGCCTCCAACTAGCCGAGCATGCTACTTTCACTGTTTGAGGGACCACGATCAAGTAGCTACATGGACACACCTACAGACTGCAATGGATAGGGATAGGTTTGGATTCAAATCAGTCGATGATGTTGTTGTGCCAACGATAACAGATAAACCAGCTGCTCCTCCTTCGTGAAGTCCGGTGTTCCTGCAGTAAACAAGAGGAGGTATCCTGCACCTCGTGCAGCTGTGTGAAGAGACGAATGCTATGCAGCATACACTGTAAATGTTCTGGGAACTGTTTGAATCCTCCTCCAACAGTCTGCGTGGATTCTGATGGTAAGACATAGAGTAACTCCATGGAAAGTCAAATAACCTTGTTACACTATTGGTAAGCACAAGATTAAATGTTTTTGCTGATGTATCTGATGTTATTAAAATTTACATCATGTACAATGTAAATTACAGATGAGTTTCAAATATGTAGTTATAAGCAATTGGCCAAAAACTGACATTAATCAATTCAATAATTGATTCAAAATCCTTACAGTTTTAATTACCCAAGTGCCAACACAGATTGTGCTAAAACCAAGATGTGATTGAATACAATTTTAGGACATTATTTATGTATTTTCTCAAATGTTTTAGGATTTTGCCCCTAAATGACAATTTCCCCAAGGTTGACTTTGGTTGTGTTTTCCATGGTGAACAAGTACCCTATTGGGGTTAATTTAGTCATAAAATGTGCTTGTTATACTAAATGTAATTCTTTTAAAAAATATTTAACAATTTCCTCATCCTTATTTAGGATTTTGCCCCAAAATGACAATTTCCCCAAGGTTGATTTTGGTTGTGGTTTCCATGGTGAATAAGTACCCTATTTGGGTTCATTTAGTCATAAAATTTGCTTGTTATAATAAATTTAATTCTTTAAAAACATATTTAACAATTTTCTCATCCTTTTTTAGGATATTGCCCCAAAATGACAATTTCCCCAAGGTTGATTTTGGTTGTGGTTTCCATGGTGAACAAGTACCTTATTTGGGTTCATTAAGTCATAAAACTGGCTTGTTATACTAAATGTCCGGGTTTCATACAATTTCTACTGGGCTATAATGTCAATTGCTGGGGACCAAGCTTAAGCCTAACGCGGAATTCCTAGAGGTTTACAATACTTAGGCAAGGACAGCAAGGCATTCAGCAGAATCTCAAAACAAAACTTACCATCGTAAATTTCCACGTAATCGGCGTTACATGTTTTGGGTGGTGCCATTGGTTTAACATACGGATTTAAATTTGTCACTTTGACCTGGATGGCCATGTTGGCGGGGGCATGTATTGTCCAGTGGCAATCTTGTGAACTGGAATTTAGACATTCAACCGTCAGTACATCACAAGGATCAGTGTTCCCTGTCCATCTTGCTGTTCCATGATTATTTTTTAACATTCCTCGTTTTAATGGTGCAAATTACTGTTGCCCTCACCTTTTCCATATGATTTTATACCATGATCATTATAAATTCTGTCTTGACAACTGAATATGGATCTCAACAGTACTCCCGACACTCATTAAGACTCCCGACACCGAATCCCCGATAAGAATGACATTTTTAATAACAGATTCAATATCGATGTGTTCAATGTACTGCCCTATTTTGACTTGTGGATATGTGTCAGTGTTTATAGAGATGATTGACCGCCCTCGGCGTTTGTTTGTGATGGGTGGCTCACCGCCCTCCAAAAATTCTAACTATTTAACAGCAATTTCTGAAACACCGGTTCATTGGTATGACGTTTTAAACTTCCTTACTTCTCATACTGCCCTGTCAAGGTTCTATTCCCAACCGTCGTAACATTTACTGTCCCTCCGCATCTGTATGTCTCTGAAAGAAATTCATGAACAATTTTACATTGCCTGTCCAGTGAAGTTTCCAGTGAGTGAGTGAGTGAGTTAAGATTTTAAGTCACATCGGCAATATTTCAGCCATATCGTGTCTAAAGCAAGTTATAAATCTATCAACAATTTAAGTGAAATGATAAAATTCTGCCGACGAAGGACAGTAAAATAACTAGATTATCACAGATATACATGTAAAACTAGTAATTGAATCTAAAACATTTTAACTAGAGGGGACAACACAATATAAAAATGGGCTATAGATCGCTAACAACTGAAGTTAGATCACCATACTAGAGACCATGGGGACTTACAGTACATTTGCTTCCCGCATGGGCCCTAGCTGGATTTACATCATACCTTCAGCTGTTAGCAATTGAGATAAATCTAGCCATACGTTAAAATTACACATATTCTACGATTAAAAAATGGAAAGTTGAAATTTACTTTGAATGTTTTGGGACTTACGTACCCTCTCGGGAGGACAATAATTTTACAGTACTTTAACCCCCCTCGAAGATACAGCCACTAACAATCTGAGTTACTAATTCGAACTTCCAATCATAAAATATTTAGCTATTTACAAATCTGTTAATAAATCTAATTCTTTTAAAAAGGCAATAACTAAATGAGAACTAACATTATTAAAAGATCCTTCAATGTTTTGACATTAAAATATTTATCCCTTGTGATGGAATATTCAATGCAGTCAAGCAAGACATGTGACTGTGATCCTTCATCACAAGGGATACAAAACTGAGGATCTTCGCCTTTCAATAAATATTCATGAGTATATCTGGTATGGCCAATGCGACATCGTCGCATAATGACCTCTTCAAATCTGGACTGACAACCCAAGTAGGTGTAACCAATATAGGGTTTTATTGCATGTAACTTATTAATACCTACTTGGGCGTCCCACTTCTTCTGCATCAGATCGCGGATGTATGTTCTAATGCTAGCTTTATAATCAGAGTATGGAATAAGAAGTGGTGTCACAGATTTGTTGAGTGCTGCCTTGGCAGCAACTTCAGCCATGGTATTCCCAGAAATGCCAACGTGGCTGGGTAACCAACAAAAGACGATGTCGCACTGGCCAGTAGCAAGCTCATTAAACAATTCAATAATGTCTAATAAAAGTGGATGTTTACAAGAAATATTTTTAATAGCCTGAAGACATGAAAGGGAATCGGAAAAGATTATGTACTGGTTATGTTTGGGATGTCGTTGAATATATTTAAGAGCCGTTAATATGGCATTTGCTTCTGCTGTAAATATAGAGCTGTTATCGGGTATTCTAGAAGATATTGTTCTGGATCCAATGACAGTGGCACATGCCACTGCGCCACCGTCCTTGGACCCATCTGTAAATAAGGATTTGTATGTATTATATTTATTTCTTAATTGACTAAATTCTTGTTTATACTGTAATTCATTTGTTTCTGAATTTTTAAATGTAGTTAATGTTAGGTCAACTTGTGGCCTAACCAATTGCCAAGGCGGAGAAGAAAGAAGATGGGAAGGAGCTATATTTTCCAGCTCAATGCCGGCAGCAGAAAGAAATGGTTTAATTCTTAAACCAAGAGGCGGAACAAGAGAAGGCTTTTTGTTATACAAATCCTCATAAGAAGGATTGAAAACACAGTTAAATGCAGGATTAGACTCGTTAGAATAGAGTTTTGTTATATACTGTAAAGAGAGTGTGATACGACGTTGGGTAAGGGATGGCTCATCAGCCTCAACATAGAGACTATCAATAGGAGAAGTTCTAAAAGACCCAAGACAAAGTCTCAGACCTTGATGGTGGACTGAATCTAAGAGTTTTAAGTTGCTTTTACACGCTCCATCATATACAATGGAGTCATAATCAAGCTTCGAGCGGACAAGTGATCTGTAAAGGTGTAGGAGCGTAGCTTGATCTCCTCCCCACCTTGAATTAGACACGACTTTCAATAAATCGAGTGCCTTCAGGCATTTAGTTTTTAGGGATTTGATATGCGGAAGAATGAAGTTTCCAGAAACATTAATCTCATGTAACATGTAACTTACGAACCTGACTGATTGGCTGATGTATTTAATATTATAATGTTCTATACATATGCAAGAATACCAATTGTATTTGCAAACACATGGATCATGTAATTATGGTACATGCAAGGTATATTTAATTTCATATTACCATTTGTTGTGAAATATTTGAGTCTGAAGCCTTTCAAATCGGATGAATAATAACGTGTTTGAAACTGAATTGTCATAGCTGATCCAGTACTCTGCAGAGTTGGTTTGGAATCGCCACACCAGGAGAAAATCGTGTCATTAAAGATGGAAGGTCCTGGAAAAGTATGGCAGACAATCTGAGAAAAGTTATTTTGAGAATAGGTCAGGACAAATGATTAAATCAATACTGTGATGATTATCTGTATGGGGTAGTTGCAATATCTAAAACGAAAAGCTCTTGTTTTGAAGAAATCGATTTGACAGGCAGGTATGTACGTACATGACAGGGGAGATGGATGACATGATGGCCGCTCCCGCAGCCGTATATTTTTAGTGATTTCTTGAAGGAAGTTGATTATATGGCATTATTCAATAGTACAAGACTCAAGTTAACGCAATCAAGCATTTTTCTTCGAAGAACTATTTAGACTATTGTTAGTGTGACTGCAGTTACCTACCGTTGTAAAATGTGACGCTGTAATCGCAGCGGACCCACTCAAAAAACGGAACATCTGAGTCAATTACGACGATGCGCACCATCATCTTAGGGTTAGACGCCGTCACTTTCCAAATGCAATTGTCTTCGCTGAAACAAATAGTGAGTTGAGGGTCACAGAAGTATGTTCATAGTGGCGTTGCAGGTAGATTCGCATAATCACAGATTCGAACAGATTCTTGGTATGTGTGTGTGTAGTGGGTTGGGGTGCTGGTGTAGGGGTAGGGGGCTTCAGGGACACAACTCGGCACAGTAAATTTGCATGTTTCCAGCCCAAATACATTTTGGTGTCTTTATACATGTTTCCAGTGCAATGACTTTTCGATGCCTTCTACAACATGACCGTTCATGTTTTCAGACCAACGAAGTACAGTCTCAAAGAACTGGCTAGCTTAAATGCATTCTAACATATATATATTCTTATGTTTACGTTATGTGTGGACTTACTATCCAGACATGCCAGGATATCCGGGGGAAGAAAGGATATTCGGATGTGCCGTTGCATTGCGAAATTGTGGCCCGCAATTGTCTGATTGGTGAGGTATCACTGAAATATAAGACTTTAGTGTATTTAATTTTTGGTGGGATTTGTGGATATTGAATCTGACTTTGATAAGGTTATATGGGAATTTGTATTACTTTCAAGGCTGTACAAGTATTATACTGTAACAAAAATTCATGTCTAATCTTGGCTTCAAGTACAGCAATAATCAAGCTCTCAGCCATCAAAGTGATTCCAGCCAAGATACCAGCCTCATGCTGTATTTTATTAAGGTGACATACCGTTATTTAATCTGCTTCCAAGCTACAGTATCAAGTATAACAGTAAATTCCAGCACAAGTAACGTCAGTCATGTTTACAGTCGCCATCTCGGATATTCTGACGTAACGTTTGTGTACCATGTGACCCCAGGTCACCTATAAATAGAGCTGTCAAGGTTAGCGTCGGTGCGGCAATTTTGACTTTGACAAGCAAGGTAGGGCTCCAGGGTTACGTCACAGCTAAATTCTCATTTTCACATATATAAGACATTTTTATTGTATAACTTGTAATCAACAAGGCTATTATTAACACTTGGTCCGCTCTCTAATATCTAGTTGTGGATAAGTGATTTTTAGGGGGTTATTTTCAACTTTGTTGACAGCCGGATTTCGCCTGAGAGTTCCGAGAATCCGACAGTCGATCCGGATTCATTCCGACGGAATATCCCAGGACTGCTTTGACAGTCGCTGATTGTCATCGCGATCCAAAGTCATTCCGACCTGCTATGTTTACATTATCAAGTTACAGTCTAAGGGTTTCTTCCACAGGGGCGTATTGGGATCGTCTAAAGCCGAGACATACGTACTTCACTGTAAGTTATAATTAGGGTTTGGCTTCATTCTTACTTGTATCACAAGTTGACAGCTGTAGGGGGTTTGGCCTCCTTAGTATTCATTCCGGATCACGTGACTTCCGGAATGTATTGTTTACATTATCTGGATCTAGTTCCTGTTGCTGCAAGTTCACACACTTTCAATTTTCGAAGTTTCTTCTACAGTTAATTAGGTTTAACAGCCCAGGGTTCTAAATCGCGAGTGGGATACAGTACTGCAAGACTACGACAGCCACGAGGACACAGGGTGACGAGCAAAGTGTCCAGTCAACATGACAGTCGGTATCGTGTCAAGACCTTGTATTTTCCGTTCGGTGCTTCATAAATAAACTCGTTATTGGAACTTTATCTACTTGTTGTGTGATCCTTCCGCATTTCCCCAGTTTCGACATTCACTCTCTGTTAGGTCCTTGTGATGTATTTTCACTAAACCTCGTCTCCGAGCTCTTGTATTTATTTTGTCACATTTTGTGACTGGTGACATCATCCATTTTCTTTTTGTACGTTGTCTACTAGTACTTATCGACTAGTCCTTGGCCGTTCCGTTACCTTTTAGAAACAACACTTAAACGTCTCACTCCAAATGATAAGTTTGTACATACCTTTCCGTGAAGTTGGAGACACACGAATCCTGAATGCCATCCCTTTGGTATCACTGTTGGACTTGAATACCACTTCCTTAAACAGTCCGTTTGAATAGTAGGGACCAATCGGGGAAATCGATGAATTTCCACATATCTTCCCAGCAAGGTAATTACTTCCCATATCACCTGTGGCTAAAGGAAATACAACGCTTCAATCATGTAAAGATCAGAATACAGAGTAATCCTAAGTAAGACATGCATATATGGGTAATCCTTCCAGCAAACCATAAAATCCTGGAATGTAGCACAAGCAATGACATATGTGGTGAGAATATTCAGTCAGAAAGCTGCGGTTATATCGAAATCAGTTGGGACACAAATGTTCTTTCGTTATAACAAGATACAGTGAGTGGCCGGGACAAGAAAGTTCGTTATAAACCTAGTTTATTGCATTTACTGGAATACAAAAGACAGCCGGAGCACATGTTGAATCAACTCATCCTGTTCTTGAACATATCCTAGAACGTGATTAATCTATTCCCCTTAAGAACTGCCATATGTACTTTTTAAAAAGCAGGGGATATTCCATTTAGGGGAGATTTTGTGTTAGGATTGTATATAGATTCAGAAAGTGATTGTTCTATTAAATTTTGTTCAGATACGCCGACTTTGTGCTTCATGTGCTCATGAACATAGTCAGGGTAAAACTCGAAAATTACACTAGAAAGTGTCAGTGTTGCGTTCACGTTGACGTTTGATAGAAGGATCGCTTTGTAGGTGGCTCAGTAATATTGTGCCTGTGGGGTGACTGTTACTTGCAGAACACCTTGAGTGAGTGAGTGAGTGAGTGAGTTACCATCACCTTCCGGTTTCACTCCGCGACAGTTAACAAATATAGAAGAATACAATTGATTTTTAAAGCGGCACACTTCAGTGGTACGACAATTTGCAATGCCATCAGTGAGTGAGTTGTCCCCGTTACACTGTTGAACTATCTATCCTTTAAAAGATATAGAATATCAGTAGATGTGACACCTTGCTGATTGTCCCCTACTTTTTAAATAATTCTGAACACATTATGGTCAACGATCGATCATCAGTAATTCTATCTTTGAGCATATGACTTAATGGTAAATCTCAAAGAAAACTGTCTGACAAAACTACGGTGTTTAGTAAAGATTGCAAGATACAAACATCACGTACCTGCAAAAAGTCGAACCGATTCAGTATCACATTGCGGGTAGGTGCCCTCCATATCAGCAGTGAGGACGTCCAGTCTCATGTTTGGTGAGATAATGCCGTTCAGGTATATACGACATGTCCGGTTGCTGGATATACATGATCATTCAAACTTGAAATACACACAATATAATAGGAAGTGAGTGGTTAAGTGAGTGAGTTGGGTTCAGTGCTACTTTGATATCACGACGCCAATAGGAATTGAAGTGTTAAATCAGCTGACGTTTCAGCAAGTTTCACAACATCTGGCCACAAGAAAAAAACGTATCCACCCCCCCTTGCGATGCTATGAAAAAGTATTTACTTTAACTTACCCTTCCTTTATCGGGGAATAACCCTCTCTGACTCTGGTCTCGTGAAAACATAAGAAACAAAGTTATGCAGCACCATCGACATTGCATGTGAAAGTGTCATGCTTCAACCAACCTGCCATAGGAACTGGGGTATCCAGGTGATAGGATGTAGATAGGGGTGTTATATATTGAATGTGTCCTGCTGCAGTGGCCCTCTGAAACAAGGACATGTTCTTATAACAATGGTAATCACCTCCTTGAATTCGCATAAAGGAATGTCACAATGTAGGAAACTACTTGATGCCAAAGTTAATTGTGTAACGCTAAGTAGGTCTACGTAAATCCCAGGCATACTAAGATCCTGAGACTCTTAGTTCGAATGTCACATGTGTATTTGCAATATTGTTTAAATTGTCAACACCAGTGGTTTATACATCTACGACTTCTATCACGCTGGGCTTTCATGGATGGAATTCCAAACTTATCCTAGATAAATGAAAAGGAATGTCAAAATCTACGAAACTAATTTTAGCCAATGAGAATTTTGGTCCGCTTGTGTTACATAAGGCTTATGAAGCATCTTCTTCTAAGTAGATGCAAATCCCAGGTATTCTAAGATCCTGCGACTCCTGATTCGAATCTCACATTTGCATTTACATTATTGATTGAACTGTCAACACCAGTGCTGTATACGACTTGTATCACGTTGGACTTTCATCGAATTCCAAACTAAAATTATCATTCCATCTTTTGTATCCAACTGTTATAATGTATAAACTTCATGATGTTGAAACAAAATAAGTTGATTCACAATACGACAACTGACTGTTATCAGGTTACTTTAAAGTTTGGAAGATGAGTATCTTTGTACAGTGTATAATTTACATGAAATGTGTGTCATTTCTACCTTCTTGCAGGCACAGAGCGTACGCATTCCTAAGTAAATATAACCAACTCACATTCGACCTTCGTGACAGAAAAAATCGAAACATCATCAACGTTAACATTGCCTCTCACGTGTGTTCCGAATATTATAAATATATTTCAGAAACATAACTCAAGTCGGTTTTAGTTGTGACGTAAATTATTCAGTTGTAATTGTACACAGTTACAGGAGTAATTGACATAGAAAACATAACTATAACATCTAGTTCATTATACCTGGTCTTGAAGAATATTGCATTTGCAAACCAAAGCTGGTCGTGTTCGCATCGGTTGTAAGCACCAGCAGCAGTGAATTCTTTGAACTATAGAAATTAGGCATCTGTGTTGAACAGTATTCACCAAGGAATTGGTCGGCTGAAATATAACATGGGTAAATGTGCTTATTCATCATGTGGTCACTTTTATTTTATACCAAAACAGAACATTGCACACATTCTGTGATATCAGCATTATGTTCAGGGCACATTTTATGTTTTATGTGTCTTCTATACATATGAGTATTCTTTGTGTTTTACCTTCGTTACCATTACAAAACAATCAGTGCCCGCCGGTCCATTATAACAGCTCCTAACCAGGTTTTTGTTGATATTTTGTAATCTCTGAGTGCTACGTTTTTTATGACTATGCATCCACCCAACCAACCATCCACCCTTTAATTCTTCCGTCAATGTTCATACGACGATGAAGCTGAGATATATTCTCTGTCGCCTTTTGACAACATGCAAGCCCTACAACATGTATATATATTTAAGTAGTCAGTGACTTAATATTTAACGTCACATCGGCAATCTGTCAACCATATCGTGACGAGAACAAGTTTGACGTTTATAAAGACCATGCGTATATTATAAATCCTGCCGTCAAGGGACAGGAAAACAACTAGATCATCACAGTTAGAATTACAACTAGTATGCTACGTTAAAACAAATAGCATTTATCTTTGGACAATACAATATAGAATCAGGCTAAAGATCGCCAACAACTGAAGGTAGATCACAATACTAGGGATCACAGTACCTTTGCTACCTGCGTGCACCCTAGTTGGATTTACGCCATCCTTTCAGCCGCTGGCGATGTGAGGAAAACTGAGCCATAATTTAAAATAACAAATATTCTACGATAAAAAAGCTTGGCAGAGCTAAATTGACTTTGAAAGTTTTGGGACTTACGTACCGTGTCAGGAGGACAATATGTATACTTAAGTAAATCAAACGATACAACGATATAAAGAGTTGTACTGACATAGCTGCAAACAGTACCTTCAGTTGTGTTTCCGTTGTACACACGAACGACATCACACGTGCAGGACTGTGAAGAAGGCCCAAAGTAGACTAGTCTCCTTGATTTGACTTGAACTGTATGGTTTTCGTTTGCTGATGTAATAATCCACTTGCAATTTAGATTCCTGAAAAGAACGCTAAATGATGACACGGACTGATAAATTAGGAACTATCTCCCTCAAATCGTCTTTGCCATATCCACAATTTGGATAAATTATAGTATCAGTTCGTTGCTGAAATCGAATACTTGCTTTTCCTTTTTGTATCAGATAGATTGGATAACTAAGTCTGTTCGTAACTATATTCATCGTATTTAGCTTGCACATAACATTGAGAGTAAAGAAATCAACAAAAGTAGCGTTTCAGACATTTGCCTCAAATGTGACATGTCAAACCATTGAAGATTGAACTAAGGGGTTTTAAAGAGTGTTATACCATACAAATACAACAAAACAATTCTTGCCTGTAAAAAGTTTCGAAATGTTGGTTTGTCAACACTAAGTGCTATGGTTTATGTTGAATGTGTGAGACTTACTAATGTACATATCATCTTACTGTCGTTTAATATATTGGTGTGAAATGATTTATATGCCTGAACATTGTTTACCTAAAACGCCTCCAATATGCTTGCACATCTTTATAAGAATAATTGGAAATCTCTTATTCGCACCATACTATTTAGATATGGTCTGTCGTTATCACAGACAGTTGGTAATGTAAATATTCCGTAAGCGGGCTATAGATATGTTTAAGCAGGAATGGCATTCAACCATTAAACAAATATAAGTTCTAGATATGATTCATATCCTCTTAAGTCGTTGTTTGAGTCTTATTTAGCTGAATAAATGTTCGCCATGCTTTTATACGTTTTAGAATAGGCCTTAATGATTTAGTAATTAACCGTGTGAGATATTTGTCTATTGACAAAACCCAAAGATTATGTCCATTCTATAACATTATTGAAGATGAATTCCATTTAATGTTTATTTGTCCTGTATATGAAAATGTAAGAAATAACGACCACAATTGCCTTTATCTCATAGCAATGTTAAATTCTTGTCTTCCTTAACTTTCTGTAAAGCACTTTCGAAACAACACAAAGTAACGCTGTTTATTTACAATGTATTTTTGTTGAGAAAAGAATTGGTTAGTTAGTAGTTGATTATACATGCCATTGTTAATATGTATCTTTTTTTTATATGGGTATACGGCCTTTCATGCAATAAAGTATTGATTGACTGACTTCTGGGAAACGTTGACACTGTCCGCAGCGAATGTATTCGGCAGGGAACCTTGCAGGCCAGAGTGACACACTAACATTATTAAGAAAACATGACACTTCTCCACAGGTGTATTGTAACATTTTTCTGTTATTTCCAAAAAAGGCTGCAGCGAAGGACAATTTCGTAAAGCGTCTAAATGTTGTGTTCCTGATACAAATAAAAGAATCAAATAAAACAATATCACTAAGCAATAGTTAAAACATTCAGTTGAGAGAACTATATTGGTATTATCAATTCTACTTATCCGTGTACACATTGGTGAAAGGTAACTCACACTACGAAAGGCCTATATACATGGCAGGGCATATTTGGGGTCACCTACATTATATGTCACGATAAATGCGGTTCAGAGAGTTATCTTAGTTTAACATTGGTTCTTTATAGAAGCGTTTCAGAAAATGCATTTTTATACAAGGCTGTCAAGGCTAAGAAAAGTTATATCATTTGCTCCACTGAATGACGAAGAACTAAATTCTGAAAATACGTTACATAAGCGTCCGCAGTCAAATAGTACAAAATACGTTTACACAGTTGTAATGGTAGGGAAATCTAATTTTATTTAGAATATCTACAGCTATTAGAATTAAGAAACTATTAAGAAATTATTTGTGTCATACCTATACGAGACGTAAGGAATCCCGGGTATGGTGAAATTTGTCATCTGTGGTGTTGCTATAAACGTTCCACGGCATCCTGAAAAAGCCAGTTGAGTTGATAATCTGAGAATATGACTTTGTGAAAGAGCAAATCGGTTAATATTTCGAAATCTGCAATGATATGTTTTAGCCAAGAATATGTACCAACAATAAATACAAGATGGGTTGGATCCACAGTGACTTTGAACGATGTTTCAAGCGTATCTCGGACTGCTAAAACAAACATGGTACGCGGATGTGGTGCGACAAGGATAACGATTTTGCAAGGTCAGTCACTGCCACGGATAGGGACTCATTACTGCACAGATACACCCTCATTTTATCTTAGTCCCTTACGGTTACTAATGAGTTTTGGCCCTAAAATCTGAAAACAGGCCCATTCCTTTTTTTACTGCAATCCCAAACCTTTTATAAATCCACTAAAAGAAAGATTAACTGCTGGCTCCAGCAAATTAATGACCATATCAAACATTTATAGGCACTATATCGCACCACACGTCTCTACAAATGAATAATACATTTCTCTCAATAATACTATCAGCCCTCAGGGAAACTACCATATGATTTATTCAAAAGAAATAACGTATTTACATTACAATATTAAATTAAAAAGTTGGAATGAATTTATGCAACGTTGCATTACATCAAGTCTTGCGCCCCCTAACGACCGAACATTACTTCACGCGAACCCCCTAGAGTTATGTCCCTTGGAGCTCTCTTTACGAATACCCTAAGCACCACTTGTGATTTAAACCAGTTCTGCAAACACCGACAACACCGCATGCGACAGTTTTCGATGTACGGAGCAATTGTTTACATTCCATATATGGCAAGTGTTCTCTGTTTGAAAGCTATTCGCTCCGAAGTTTTAATTATCGATTTCAAGCAAGTCGTAAGGAATAATAAGTCTATTATTTCATCAATAGCAACCTAAAGTGAGTGCATATGCCCCAATATGTGTAATGTAGGCCATAGTATTGTCTCAAAAATGTGTGATACTGTGCCTTTAACAAAATCCTTAATACAATTAAATTGACGTCCAGAAAAAGAGCGACTTTTCAACTTTCTATACCACTATCAATCAAACGTATTCCTTGAACCTAATTGGGATTCAATTTCAAAACGACGTTACCATAGTAATATGACTTTGACAAGAGGGGTTCCAAATTCAATTTTGCCTAATTATCGAGCAACATCACTGCAGCCCGAACCTTTGGTGCTGCGGGATGTCGAACATGCTCTCTTTGCCACGATTTAAAAGAGCTTCAAGCGACTCTTTCTCAATTTCAATTTCTTTTATTCCTGGTACTGAAGAGGCCACAGGCCTATAGTACAATACAAGTGTGTACAGTCATATGGTATATAAAACCAGTTTTCGGTTGCTGAACCCATGATAGAAGTACATTGATAGACTTTCTCAGAAGTTGTTAGATGAGGATTACAAAATTCCAGGCCCCAACAAGGTGTCAACGATTTAATATGGTAGACATTTGTTTGACATTTCTGTGTTTAAGGAAAAGACCAAAAATATATCCGATGCAATTCCCGACTTAGACTTACAATTGTGCTTCCATGATGATGTCAAGGGGAACAATTGCATGTTAGCGAGTCTGAGCAAGCTTACTCATTCACGAACACAGAGCATCATCATTGTTCATAGACACATGCTCACAGTATTGTCGGAATCGCATAGTCTGCTCTACTGTAGGAAGCTGTTTTCATTGGGTATTGAAAGGATTTTGACGCTTTTTTTGCAGCCCGCTTTCACGTCTGATCAAATGACCATGCCGTTGTAAAACTACTGTTCGAAGCGGCGGGAATACCAATCCAAGCGCCTGCTTTGTTTCATTCTCTTATACGTACTTTCAGTATTATTGGCTGTGAGAACAAAGCTTGTTCCATAAGAGGACGCACTGGAAGTAAACTGTATGTACATGGTGTTTCCGCAGCTGAGAATACCGCCACGATCCGTACCACACAGTTGTAACAGTAATCCACTGGAATTATCTGAACCTGGCCATGAGAAAGAGCGTTAGAGTTATTATTCAAAATCAGTGACCCAAATCACACTCATCCCCTTCCAGCTTTACCCATACAAATGGAAAACATAACATGACCTATAACTACACGTCAATGGGAACAATCGAACATTGTCTGGTCCTCGTCATCAAAATTATAATATTATACAAGACCATTATATCCGCCAACACCTACACAAATGTGGCATTATACAACATGATACAGTCTTATACCATATGTCCATGTATACCATGTGTTTACAGAATGCAAAATGCACACAATTAGCCGTAAAGGCATCTGCAAATGAACCAGCCGTTACACTTGAGTGCACACCCACCCGCTCTGATTGGGTTCGGTATCCCGGCTGCTTCGTTTCTTGGGAAGTAAACCGAAGTACACAATTTTGCACTTTTGATTTGCTATTGTACGCTTATAATTTTGTTTATATGTTTTTTTATTACCAGCAATGTATATTATATGTCATGAATAAGTGATAATTGTGTTTTAATAATGTTTGATTTTTTGGTTGTATGTGACCTTTAAGTTATTCATTTAATGGTTTGATAGATTTAAATGACACACTTTCCGTAGTTAAACCTCCACTAATGGAAACAGTCGTGTAGCCATCAGGTTTTCTTTCAGCACCACAGATTACACCCAATAGACCGAATAGTAAAACTACTCCCGCCACAGAACCTCCAACAACTATTCCCGTTGAGTCTTTCGAATCTGTAAAGACAAATAGATGCTCGTGCAATATATGGAATTGTAAAGGAACTTTGCCTCAATATGTCCCATTTGTTCATTTGTTCAGTTTAACAGCTGACTTTAGCGTTAACTCGTAGTAATAGAAAAAATACTAAATATTTTGGAAACTATACAATACTAAAGTGATACCTGGACCATAGATCACTTTATACTTGTGGTATAAAATTATGTTACTGAGACAACTGATGAAAATATTGACTCACTGTCATGCCAAATTGAGTATAGTTTTTTAAATTTTAATCCAGGACAGATTTCGGTCTTTAGACTTCGGTTGTAGACTCGTTTGGTACTTTAACATTTTGTCATTGTAACCTACCGTTTGTTCCTATGTACTCTGCCGTATACTTGATAATGAATCCTCTGTCGACTACATGGGAATTTGATTTGAATTTCAAGAACATTAAAGATCCTGAACTGGTTTTGTTTGGTTCAGTTCCTCCACACCAACGTCCAAGAGAAGTAGCTTTGGCATCCGACCCTACAGACATAAAGTCATTCAACACTGTTTTGTCAACATGAACGGTTTCATAGCGACATTCTGAGTTTAAAATGTATTGCTATCTTCATGAGTAAGTCCAGTTTATTCCTTCTGATAATGATTTCGGGAAAATTGATGGATAGTTCAAGCCCTCATAAGCTGTTCTAACACAAATATATCAGTATACGAGAGTAACTACGAGATGTCGAGTATTGCTTTCAAACAACTTACCCCATCGAGTCCCCATTTCATTTAAGACATGCGTCTAAACAAAGTCAACTATCACCTTTTCTACCACCAAACATACGCCGAAGGAGTCAGACGTCAACCGATGACCTGCCAAATTATGACTCGACCCAAGACCATGCCGAAACAACAAGATTCCCACCTGACTCCCATCTTGACAAAACCTCTGCTGTAGGTTGCACGTTTGGTATACGTTTCCCTGCATGCATTCAAACAGCGATTTGGAATATTCATTTATGATACATAAAGTTCTGTCACATTACAGCGGTTGCAAATGGCATCCGAACAGATAACCATTAGCTTAGGACACGTGTCCGATGTAGGGTTATTCGCTGTACAATGGAATGTGCCATAATTACAGAAAAGGATAAGTTATCAGACGAAGTACATGTACGATACTGTACATGTATACCGATCAATGCTGGGATAACTGAGATAATCCACGCCCACTACAAGAATTAACTGTTGACGATAAGAAGCCAAAAAGCAGGCTCAAGCATCATGAATATATCCCTAAGCAAATGTGAATCTGCAATCACAACATTACAATCGAACGCTTCTACCTACGTAGTCATTTTGACAGCCAGCAGAGTTCTCCAGTTGCGAGTAGGTAGCGTTGGTCTTGACCCGATAGGATTTACCTGCATCGATCTTCCACGTAGTCTCAATATTGCTTTAATATAGAAAACACTACTAGCATGCGGTGACTATGATGGTGCATCAGTCGACAAACAGTATGTTACCTACGGATTTCAACATGTATGAAAACCCTCTCTCTCTTCTAACGTATTTATAACACATACAGTCTCTCTCTCTCTCTCTCTCTCTCTCTCTCTCTCTCTCTCTCTCTCTCTCTCTCTCTCTCTCTCTCTCTCTCTCTCTCTCTCTCTCTCTCATATATAACTTTACGTAGTTACACTTTGTGGCCACATACCTTGGTAGAAAAATGGATAGTTTGGGGAGGAAATAAACTTGTATGTAAATGCTTCAGCTGAAAGGCTCGTCATCCGTGAGGCTGAAAAAAGAAGAGTATTTGCAAGTTCACTGATGTATCCAGACGATTAAGCGATCCCTTATTAACAATCATCGTGAGGAACATCATGGAAAGTAATGTGAATGTTTCTCTGCTTTGTGTTCAGTGAACCTATGAAGTTTCTGACGGAACTCTCTGCCAAATCCCCGATTTGTCATCATCACATTCAGGAAGGAAGGCTGCACTAAGTGATAAAACTCACTCGCCCACTCACTCACGACATTGCAAATTGACATACCATTAAAGTGTCCCGCCTTGATAATTAATTGTATTCCTCTGTAATTGTTATGTATCCCAGAGTGGAACCTGGAGGTAATGGTATGTCCAGAACTGATGAAGCCATCGCTGTGTTCACCACACCATTTACCAGTGCTTGTTGAACTGGTTGTTTTAAAAATAGCTATAGGCACATAAATAGGTTATACATACATTATAAAACATAGGTATAAATGCCAATGACAAGTTTCTGCAATTAGTATTTTAAATTGCTTGTCAGTTGTTTTAATAATTGGATATAAATGCCAACCAAGTCTTCATACTTGAAGAAAGGATACGTGTACATCAATGTATTTGAGCAGCCAGAAATTGTAATGTAATACGACGATGCTAAGATCAATATTTTCAAAAGGTGATATATCACACCATAACAATCGTTATGTTTGTGTTATGCTGTCGCATTCGGTGATGCCCCAATTACATGACGTTTACCTGTAAGTCATTAAGTCATGGGCCAATAAATACTGTTATATTTTGTTGTGAGCCACAATATATGCCGTCGGATATGAAAGGCTGCAAACGAAGAGGTGATGAACCAGATGGATATATTACGGCAAACTCTATAACACTTGTTGATGAACAATACTTTGGCAAGGATAAGTATGTATTCAGCAGAGTCGCAAAACAATTCTTACCATCGTACATTTCTACAAAATCGGCGTTACATATTTTGGGTACTGCCACTGGTAAAACATACGGATATGTCACTTTGACCTGGATGGTCATGTTGGCGGGGGCATGTATTGTCCAGTGGCAATCTTGGGAACTGGAATTTAGACATGCATCCATAAGTACACCATCAAGATCATGCTGGTACATGATTATCCTTCTGTTATTATTTAACATTCCTCGTTTTAATGGCGCAAATTGTTGTACTGTTACCCCCATCTTCTCCATATGATTTTGTATCATGCTCATTACACATTCCGTCTTGACAACTGAATATCCCAACGGGAGATGTTATCCCGAGGAGTACCTGGACGATTATGGTGAATAACCGTAAAGTAGGAAAGATTGCATTATTTTTTACACAGACGAAGACAAAAATCCACAACTGAACTCCCGACACTGTCAGTGAGATTGCCATTTGTTATAAGAAAATCACTCCAGTGCGCTGTCGTATTTTGATTCGTGGATGTGTGTCAGTGTTTGTTCAGATGATTGACTATCCTTTTCGTGTGTTTGTGATGGGTGGTTCACATGAGGCACCGTTTCGCGCGCCCCAAGGATTCTAACTATTTGTTAGCAATTTCTGAACAGGTTTATTGGTATGACATTCTAAACCTTACTTTTGATACGGCCCTGTCAAGGTTGTATTCCCAACCTCCGTAATATTTACTGTCCCTCCACATCTGTATGTGTCTGAAAGAAATTCACTAACAATTTTACATTGCCTATCCAGTGAAGTGTACACAAACATTTACCTGATGAGGTGAAACAAAATTTACGAACCCGATTGTTGGCTAATGTATAGAATATATTATCAATTGAAAAAATATACAATGATACCAATTCGTGAGTATTTGCCAATTTCGAATACATAGATCATGTTAATATTCAAAATTGTAAATATCATAAGCTCGTTCAGTGTCTGCAGTGTAAATGTGCACGCAAGTAGTTTTTAATGTCATATTACCATTAGTTGCGAAATATTTCAGTCGGAAGCCTTTCAGACTGTACCAATAAGATGAAATGAACTGAATTGTCATAGCTGATCCAGTACTTTGCAGAGTCGGTTTTGCCTTGCCACACCAGGTGAAAATCGTGTCATTAAAGATGGAAGGTCCTGGAAAATTCATGGCAGTCGTCTCAGAAAATTCACGTAGAGAATAGGTCATGACAAACATGTAACGTGCACCAAAAAAGTGGAAAATATAGATTAATGTGTCTTAAATGGTTAAAACATTAGTGTGATGATTATTTTTATGGGAAAGTTGTGATATGTGTGCTCATCTTTTCACGAAATACATTTGACAGGCAGGTGTGTACGTACATGTCAGGGGAGATAGATGCCATGAAGGCCTCTCCCACACTGTGGCAGCCGTATGTTATCTTTTCCTGTTTTTCCCTGTCTTATCTCGATGATTTCATGTAAGCTATTCAGTTGGTTATTTGAGATTATTCAATAGCATAAGAAAGAAGTTAACGCGATAAAACATTGTACTCAAAGAACTATGATACTATAGACTATTGGTGATGTGACTGCAGTTACCTACCGTTGTAAAACTTGACGGTACAACTAATGTCACCGACGACCATAAAGTCCGAGTCAATTACGACGATGCGCACCATCATCTTAGGGTCAGACGCCGTCAGTTTCCAAATACAAAAGTCTGGGCTGAAACAATAAGTGAGTTAGAAGTCTGCCCAAAGTGGCGTTGCTTAAATTCAGATAATCAGAGATTTGAACACAGGCGCATAATATTCTGGGGGCTTTGGCAACTCGGCACAGCAAATTTCGATGCCGAAATGATAGGAATTACATGTTTCCTGACCAATGGAATTCAGAGGTTTTAGCAAGTGTTATGTACGTTTCCAGACAAATGAAGAACAGCTTCAAAGAACTGACCACTTTAAAAGCTTCACAATGTATATTCAATTTGTTATCCGTAATGTTAAGCGTGCAGAGTGCTCACATAGTGAAAAGAAATGCCAGGAAATTGACTTACTATGGCGAAATAACAGGATATCCGGGGGAAGAAAGGAATTTTGGACGTGCCGTTGCTTTGCGAAATTGCGGCCCACAATTGTTTGATTGGTGAGGTATCACTGAAACATGAGTGGGTTTCATTTTTTGTGGGATTTGTGGATACTGAATCTGACTTTGATGCCATTATATCAGGACATTTATCACTTTCGACGCCCTACAACTATAACGCCTTTCAGAAACAATACTGAAAACGTCTCACTTCAAATAATAAGTTTCTACATACCTTTCCGTGAGGTGTGAGACACACGAAGTCTGAATACCATCCCACTGGTATCACTGCTGGACTTGAATACCAGTTTCATTAACATTCCGTTAGAATAGTAGGGACCAATCGGGGAAATCGATGAATTTCCACAAAACTCTCCCGCAAGGTAATAATTTCCTGTATATCCTGAGGCAGAAGGATTTATTTGAAAATACTTACAGTTACTCTTCAATTTTGCATAGAAGAAAATACCGTTAACATAACAAGAAATGGGAAACAAAAAATGAGTGAGTGAGTTTGGTTTTACGCCGCACTCAGCAATATTCTAGCTATATGGCGTGCGTAACAAAAACGTCTCATGTGTTCCCATTTCGCCTTGTTTAGCGACTCTTGTCTCCCAATTAAAACTGAATCTATGGATGGATAATAATAATTTCCAGCAAACCTGTAAATCGAACATGTGGCATAAGCAATGGTATATGGTTTGAGAATACACAGTATGGAACCACTAATTTTCTTTCTTTATAATCGTGGTTTGTTATACGCATTTCAACCACAATGTAAAGCGAGAGGCCGGGACAAAAACTTCGTTAAAAACGTAGTTAATCGCACTTGCAGGAAGAAAAAAACAACCGTGTTCCACGTGGAATCAACACATATTGTTCGTGTCCATTCTTATGAACATATCTGGGACATGAACAATCTATTCCGCCAATGAATTCCAATATACATATTTGTATTAACAAAAGAAGTGGACATTCCATTTTTGGGTGAAATATTTTGTGACTATTCTATTTACATGAACTTTGTTCAAACACGCCAGTTTCGTGTTTCATAATGTGCTCATGATCATGTTCAGGACAAAAGGCGAATTTGCATAAAAACGTGTCAGTGTGTGGCTGTAGATTTAAGTGAGAAAAAAGAATGAAAGACTAAAGTTCTTCTGATGTTGTTTTAAACTCAATTAATCGTTTTTACGTGCATCTGTCGTTTCGGCACGGAAATTTGGTACAAGACAGATTAATGTGGAACAGCTCTTAACATTTCAGTCAGTCGTTAGCCTGCTACAATCACCATTTGTAATCAACTCCACAGATGGAACATGCAAGTCCGACTTCCCCGTTACCCCAGGATTGCCAAATGGTCACATAACTCAAGACGTCATTGGTGTCAACAGCGGCAGCGCTGGATCAGTTATTGGTCGTTTATCTAGGGGTGTGGCTCATCGAATCCGGGTTGTCTTGAGAATGCATACGGAATCACTCGATATTAATGAGTTTGGCCTTTCAAATGCACCTGTTACACTGCTAAACTATCTATCTTTCTAAAAAATATCAATACATATGGCATCTTTTTGATTGTCCTCCACTTTTTAAAAACACTGGGCACATAATGTTTCGATTTAATACTGGATTGATAATAGTTAATTCAATCCTTGTGCACATGACTTAATGGTAGATCTCAAAGAAAACTGTCTGATAAAATCTACGGTGTGTAGCAAATTGTGCACGAAGCAAATATCACGTACCTCCAATAAGGCGAACCGAATCACTATCACATTGCGGGTAGGTGCCCTCCATATCAGCAGTGATAACGTCAAGTCTCATGTTTGGTCGGAACATCGCATCGTGCAGAAGTATGTAGCATGACAGGTTGCTGAACAAACATGGTCATTCAAACTCCACGTACACACAACAAAATAGGAATTGCTGGAGTGATCAACTGAGTGAGTGAGTTGGGTCCAACGCTGCTTGCACAGCCAATATAAATTGAAGTGTTCAATCCGCTGAACGTTTCAGCAAGTTTCACAACATCTGGTTACAAAAACAGCTTATACCAACCTTGCGATACTACCAAAAAGTATTTACTATAATTATACCTTTTCCGATTGGGTAATCATCCTCTCTGATTCTAGTCTCGTGAAAACATAACATACAAAGTTATGCAGCAATGCATGTGAAAGTACCTACCTGCCATAGGAACTGGGGTATCCAGGTGATAGGATATAGATGGGGGTGTTATATATTAAGTGTGTCCTATTGCAGTCGCCCTCTGAAACAACAATGCCATTTCCTTACGATAGTTACTTCCTTAAACTAGTAAAAAGGAATGTAAAAGTTGAAACTAACAGATGTCAACTCTAATCTTGTGACGCTTTTGTCTCATATATGGCATAATTATAAAGGCTTGGTCGTCCAAGAAACCGCAGTTCCAATGCCTACAAGCTTCATAAAACTCTTGGGTCGAATTTCAAATTATCATTCCAACTTTTGTATCTAGTGGTTATAATGTATTACCTTATGACAAATCCTGTTGGAATCGAAACACGGACCTAACTTGCCATAAGGCTTCTTTGAATTGTAGCTAGATGTCATGATGTATTTTTTGGTAAAATGTATCTACATGAATTTTGTATGGCGTTTCAATCATCTTGCAGAATGAATGAATTCGTTACACAGAGAAGACTAGGCAACCTTCAATAAATATAAGCTACTCTCAATCGGCCCTTGTCATAGACAAATGCAACATAATTGCAGTTATCTGTCCTTCATTCGTGTTTCGAAAGTTATGAAAATATTTCCGCGAACTAACTCGGCCGAAGTAGAGAAGTAGAGACGTGAATTATCAAACACTTATACGAGTATGATAACTATAACATGAAGTTCATTATATATACCTGGTCTTGAAGAATATTGCATTTGCAAACCAAAGCTAGTCTTATTCATATCGGTAGTAAGCTCCAGCAACAGTGAATTCGTTGAACTGTAGAAATTTGGCATCTGTGTTGAACAGTATTCACCAAGGAATTGGTCGGCTGAAATATAACATGGGTAGCTATGGCTGTTCATCATGTTGTCATTGTCCATGCAGGAAGCAAGTGTACTGTAAGTCACTAGTATGGTGATCTATCTTCAGTTTGTGGCAATCTATAGCCAGTTTTTATATTGTTTTGTCATGTATAGTTAAAATATTTTAGATTTAATTACGATTTTAAATTTATATCTGTGATAATCTAGTTGTTTTACTGTCCTTCGTTGAAAGTATATTATAATCTACCTTTAATTGTTAACATATTTATAACTTGGTTTAGTCACGATATGGCTGAAATAGCGCCGATGTGACTTAAAATCTTAACTCACTCATTCACGCACTCACACATGTGGTCATTATCATTATACAAACTTGAGACCAAAGGAAACCAGCATACATATCTGAGATATCAGCATCATTGTCAAGACACATTTTATGTTTTATGCATCTTTGATACCATATGAATGTTCTTTATGTTTTTCCTTCTGTCTGCCAATGCCAATAGTAGGAACGTAGGAACAATCAGGGCTCTCCGGTCTTCGATACGAAAGTAGTGTTTGAACTTACCCAATAAAAGTTCTTAATCTCCACTGAGCGGTCTTTTGTTTTTGTTTTTGGGGTGGTTTTTTTTTCTTTTGACTTTTTTTTGTTTGGTAATTTTTATTTATTTTTATTTTATTTTTATATATCCCTGTCCATCCACCCAACCATCCATCCATCCATCCATCCATTCATCCCTGAATGTCAATACGAAGACGAAAATGCGAATTACTCTTTGTCGCCTTTTGTGAAACATCTCGATACTACTGGCCTCCTTGACATATCACGTACATATTTGCTTAAAATGTAAATCAACAATACAAGAATATAAAGAGTTGTACTGACACCTGTATTACAGTACCTTCAGTTGTGTTTCCGTTGTACACACGAACGACATCATACGCGCAGGACTCTGACGAAAGCCCAAAGTTATGTAGTCTGTCCGATATCACTTGGACTGTATTGTTTTCGTTGTCGGACGTTATAATCCACTTGCAGTTG